GAGTATCCATCACCCATGAATCCCCTCTGTATTTGTCTATTATGAACATCTTCGCTGTGTCAGTAACTCCTGAAACACCTATGACCACAGAAGAACACTGAGTTTTTGCTCGTCCTTATGAACGTTCTGATCCTCAACTCGTTTATAAAGAATACCTGAGCACCCCGAGCCCCAGCATCAGTCTATATAGTCTCCCAGAGCTCAACTCAGCTATAAAGACTCTCTGGGCTCCTCGAACTTAGTTTTCAAGGACTCCCTGAGCTTCATCTCGTCTATAAAGAGTCCCGGAACTCCTTGAGCTTTAGATCGTCTGTAAAGACTGTCTGATCTTCCCAAGTTTCAGCTCGTATATAAATACTAGCTACGCTCTCCGAAATTCAGCACGTCTATAAAGACTCCCTGAGCTCCCTTAGGATCGTCAACCCACACTGGAACACTTAATTACGAATTGGTAAACGAAGGGTCGAAGGAACGAAAGGGGCCTTTGACACATGGCGAGACGTATGTTAAGCTTTTAGTTTCCCTTGTACCATTTACCTTAAATCGGATGAAAATATATATAGAATCTATCTATTTAAATCGGTTCAGATTTAGATCTGAACCGATTTTCACGAAACTAAGCACACATCATTCTAGGCTTAATTCAAATTTCGTGCAAATCGAAGAATATAGGGTCTTTGGTGCAACGTTTACCTTGAATCGGACGAAAATATTTATGTGAGCTATATCTAAATCTGAACCGATTTTCATGAAACTTAGCAAAGATCATTCTAGGCTTAATTCAATACGCTGTGCCAAATTTCGTACAAGTCGAAAAATATATAGGGTATTTGGTGCATCATTAACCTTGAATCGGACGGAAATATATATTGGAGCTATATCTAAATCTAAACCGATTTTCACGAAACTAAGTACACATAATTCTTGGCTTAATTTAGTACGCTGTGCCAAATTTCGTGCAAGTCGAAGAATATATAGGGTCTTTGGTGCACCATTGACCTTGAATCGGACGAAAATATATATGGGAGCTATATCTAAATCTGAACCGATTTTCACGAAACTTGGCACACATCATTCTAGACCTTATTCATTACGCTGTGCCAAATTTCGTGCAAATCGAAAGATATATAGGGACTTTGGTACACAATTTACTTTAAATCGGGCGAAACTATATATGGGAGCTATATCTAAATCTGAACCGATTTTCACGAAACATAGCACACATCATTCTATTCTCAATTCAGTATGCTGTGCCAAATTTCGTGCAAGTCGAAGAATATGTAGGGTCTTTGGTGCACCTTTTACCTTAAATCGGACGAAAATATATATGAGAGCTATATATAAATCTGAACCGATTTTCACGAAACTTAGCATAGATCATTCTAGGCTTAATTCAGTACACTATGCCAAATTTCGTCCAAATCGAAAGATATATAGGGATTTTGGTACACCATTTACCTTAAATCGGACGAAAATATATATGGAAGCTATATTTAAATCTGAACCGGCTTTTTGTAGAATATTGCGAGGGTTTTCATCCTCGCATCTTGTGATAGTTGAAGTCCGGTTTAATAAATTAAAGACGAAAAGGACACACAAGAAATCGAGGTTGAAAGAAGAAATGTTCAAAAAATTCTCATTCGATTTTACTGAAGAAATGTAACCTCAAAAAATATATACTATAGCTCCAAATGAAATATGAAGCTATAATAATATTCCGAACTTTAACATATGCCGAATTTTAACTTCTTTGTATGTCTTTTATAACTGGAACAACTTCCCACCATATCTTCTATAATTTATCTACAGATTGAATATCATCGATTTATATATGGTATCTCAAAATCAGATTGTCATTTTTATCTTATATTCTATCAACTTCCACATCCACATAACCTTAATAGTACTCGTTTAAATTTGATGTAATTTCCACCTGTCACTTTACTGGTAGATTGGTAGATATGTGTCGTGCGTCCCTTAGAAATTGTGTGCACCTTTGTGTGTGCTTTATATATAGTCTAGCATTTTATACACAACAATTGACCTTTTGATATGCCATATAATATTCTTAATGTACAAAATATGACAATTTATTGTCGTGTAAGAGGGTAATCAAATAAGAACAAGATATAACGAAATGTGGGAATTGACCACTAAAGGGTGTATATTTAATACTAAAAATGGTCTGGAGATATTACCAGTGTTTGAAAGAGGATCTCAAACATCACGAAATTTAGCCGAGGATCAGGATTAGCTCCACAAGGAGGTAAGGTCCAGCTGTCTTTAGGGTATAACATATGCGACTATTCTGCCTTCCTTTCTGGTTGTTATACTATATTTTGTCATTATTTAAGTACCCATTTAATACCCCTTTCAATAAATGATGATAGTTTAGTTTCTTTCTTCTGTGTGTGTGTGTGTGTGTGTGTATATATGACTACTTGTGGAGATTATATAGCCACAGCAATATACAACACATATATGCACATAAACCTATACCCTCACACACAACCACTTAAACCAAACACACGCATATATACACACACACCGACACACATGTCAAACAATTTGTTTTGTAAACCTTACCTACAGAATTGTGGTCAATTGTTAAATGACAATAGACTAACGACCATAATGTCATTTCAGACTTTCCATAATTGTACGTGTGAGTGTGTGCGCCTAGAAATATATGTATGTGTAGAATTGGTGTAAGTGAATATAAATATCCTTGTGTGTTGTGTTTCCTTTTTCTATGCTCCGCTGTGTACAACACATTTGGTCAATGGAAAGGTAAACATGTCAAGTGGTTGGAGGTGGGGGTGGGGGTGAGGTGGTGTGAGACGGTAGGTCATGTGTGGGAATGTTTAAGCTTATCGGAACTTTGAAAAATAGACAGAGGTTTTAACAAACAAAAATTTGGAATGGGGAATGTGGAAAGGGAACCATACAGAATATGGGAAATAAAAGAATATTAGAAAAAATCGGGACAAAAATGGTCGTAATACATCGTTATTTTATCAAGGACCTAACTATAATTTCCCCTAATTCCACATACTGAAATCTGGACTTATGTTGAATATCAGTATCCAATTTTGTTCCCTTCAGCTCCTAGAATACTGCCACCTTTACGTCTTCACTAGTATCCAATTTTTTCTTGGATTCCTCTTTGATGTTGGTTAACTCCCAAATTGTTTGCTGAAATGTCCAACATCATGTAGTGTTTGACCTGTTGGTTGGGTAGACTGATTCTCTTGTATTGTCATTTAAGAGTCTTTTATGTTTGTGACAGAATAATTGTCTACCTGGGTGGATGTACATATGTAAGCATGTGGCATTTGACTAAATACGGAATCTGTCTAATTCAAAAGGAGTAGAGAAGAAACAACTGATAAGGTTTTTCAAAAGGACTATTATTTAAATAATATTTTTAAAGGACTAAAATTAGGTGTGTTTTTTAAATAATATTTTTAAAGGACTAGCCATCAAAGGCGTGAATTTTTTGAATAATATTTTTCACGGACTAGCCATAGAAGTGGATTTTTATACCCTTCACCACACTGTGGTACTGTGGTATTATCCCTTTGTGCATATGTTTGTAACAGGCAAAAATAACCGAGATAGACCCATGATTCCTTTTGGGAATATGCATAGAATCACTTTTTGAGTCGATTTGTGCATGTCCGTCCGTCAGTCTGTCCATGTTAAATTGTAAACAAAGTACAGGTCGCATTTATGATCCGAATTGGATGAAATTTGGCACAGCTCATTTGTTTGGCCCAAGGACGAACCCTATTGAAATTGGGAAAAATCGGTTCAGATTTAGATATATCTCCCATATATATTTTCGTCCGATTTAAGGTAAATTGTGTACCAAAGTCCCTATATATCTGTAAATTTGCACGAAATTTGACACAGCGAAACGAATAAGGTATAGAATGATGTGTGCAAAGTTTCGCGAAAATCGGTTCAGGTTTAGATTTAGCTCCCATATATATCTTCGTCCGATTTAAGGAAAATTGTGTTCCAAAGTCCCTATATATCTTTCGATTTGCACGAAATTTGGTATAGCGTACTGAATTAAGTCTAGAATGATGTTGCTAAGCTTCGTGAAAAGATCCATAGCTAGGCCGATTGACACAGCGTACTGAAGTAAAATAAATTAGTATCTGGTTAGTTTCCCTGAAATCGGTTCAGATATAGATAAATAACAAAAACGACGTCCCTTAGGATATATATGTACAATATACCCAAAATGGTGAAGGGTATCATATAGTCGGCCCAGTCCGACTTTACTACTTTCCTTACTGGTTTAATTCATATTTTTAGGGACTATCCACTATTTTTTAAGGACTATACACAGGCGTGGATTTTTAAAAATTATTTTTGAAGGTCTAGACATAGACGTGGATTTTTAAAAATTATTTTTAAAGGTCTAGACATAGACGTGGATTTTTAAAAATTATTTTTAAAGGTCTAGACATAGACGTGGATTTTTAAAATGTTTAAGGACTATAAAAGCCGTGAGTATTTGCCTCCACTTCTGCGAAAGCAGCGGATAAGGTCTCCGGATGAGCAAACGACTACCAAATTTGCCAAAAAGAAAAAGAGCTTCCCGTCGACCGATAGTAAGAGAAAGCTGAGTCAAACCAACGTCAAAGGAAACTGCCACGAGAATCCACTGACGAGGGCAGACCATGCTGGCTCAGATATCAGGAAGACGAGACGTGCTGAGTCTGAATCTTTCGCAAAGACCGGGAATCCCAAAAGGATCAACCGGTATTTGTGAAAGAAGAAGATGACAGCAATAGGGGCCGTCGTCTTATGCCAGTGTTAAATACGGTCAACAGCAAGATAATGGAGTACCAACGACAAGGATGGGACTCTATTGAACTGGATAGCTGCGCTTTCAAAGCGGACTATCTAATGCTGGAATTTAAAACTTAACATAGCATAGAAACCCTGCGGAGGTAGTGGCAAGCATTGGACCCATTGATGGAACAATGAAACTCAAGCTGGTGAGGAAAAAAGACATTCCTCAACTACAAAAGGCTACAGTCTTTGTCAGAGGCAGCGATATCGACAAGGAACGCATGCTCGAGGTCTTCAGCCTTCAAAACAAGACCCTGCATGTGATGGAATGGGAAGTCTTCCACGGGGAGGAGAAAGAGGATGGGACTCTCCTTGTATTAGGCTTGGGCAGATCTTCAAGGGCAAGTCTGGCTAAGTTAAAGGGCAAGGCGCACTACGTGTCCAATGCCCTTTACTACAAAATCGGGAAGGCAAGGATTGGAGACGATGAAGCCAATGACAACAGCGAGGTGAAAGTACCCAGCAACAAAGAGGAGGGAACAGAGGAGAAGGTAACAGACTCCCAAGAAAACCGGTTACTGGAGGACAATTGATAGAAGTCATCCAGATTAAACTCCATCGGTGCGAGACGGCAACCCTGGGCCTGATGGAAAAAATAATAAGAGGGAAAAAACACATCGGTTTGATCCAGGAACTTGGACGATTAAAACAGGGTCTCTGGATTAAATCATATAAATTACCAACTCTTTTATGAAAATATGGGTTCTCGTCCGAGAACCTGCATTATATGTCACAAAAATTTATGGTTTTTCTTCTCCGCAGAGTTGTCAACATCGGACGCAACTGTACTGAAGCAGGGTAGTGGTAACATTTACCTGGCTTCAGTATATCTCCCGTTCGACTCGCCGAAAGCACAGGAAACAGGTAACGAAGTACTAATTGGTAGTGATGCTAACTCACATCATATTGCGTGGGGTCGTACAAATACTAACAAAAGGGACCTGGCCCTTCTAGGTTATTTGAATACTAACGATTTAATAACCCTTAACATAGGCAATTAACCTACCTTTGATAACAAAATTAGAGAGGAGGTATATGTTCAGCAAACTTAATAGATGAGATCCAGAAATTGAGAGTCTTAGAAGAGTACTCCTTTTCTGACCACAAATATAATATGTTCAAAATCCTACTGCCACCGCGGAAACCCATATACTTCCGAAACAAGTTCAAAAAACGGAGAGTTTATGGCAACCAAATTATGAGTGCCTAGACACGAATGACATAGACAGTTCAAAAAACGGAGAGTTTATGGCAACCAAATTATGAGGCCTAGACACGAATGACATAGACAGGAACGTCAACAAATTAACGGAAGTAATTGTAAAGTCTTTCGAAGAAAGTTGTCTTCTTCAAGAAAGGAGATCTGCCTTTGAAAAGCCCTGGATAACAGGGGAGATTCGGAACTAAGGAGAAGATGTCCAAAAGCTTTACAACAGAGCACGTCGAAAAAACTACAGTATTCTGGGACAACTTCCGCAATAAACGGAAAGAATACAATAAATTGACAAGAATTGCCAAACGCAACTCCTGGAAGCTGTTCTGCGCACAGTTTCCAGGAGTTGCGTTTGGCAATTCAAGATGTTTCTATCCAAGACGGTGAGAGTAATAGGATAGAAACAATCGAGGAAACACTAAGTGAGCATTCATTAGGGCTCACTTCCCATCGAACATATCGACAATGGACGATGTCAAGGGCAGATAAGCAAGAAAGATCAGAGGAGCCTGTTATTGACAATAGATTCAAAAACTTTCACTAATTCTAACCAATAGGGCACAGCAGGCCTAATTTGGCTTATGTGTATGTCCATCTCATGTTGAACATGTGGTGGTATCATCCACCCCTCTTTTCAAAGCCGTCAATTTTTATACCCTACACCACACTGTGGTACAGGGTATTATGTCTTTGTGCATATTTTTGTAACAGGCAAAGAGAATCGAGATAGATCCATGGTTCCTTTTGAGAATATGCATAGAATCACTTTCAGAGTCGATTTATGCATGTCCGTCCATGTATTTTTGTTAACAAAGTACAGGTTGCATTTATGATGCGATTTGGATGAAATTTGGCACAGGTCACTTAATTGGCCCAATGACGAACCCTATTGAAATTGGAGAAAATCGGTCCACGTTTAGGCACAGCTCCCATATAAGGGTACCCCCCAATTTTCGGTATTTTGGGGGTTTTGATCGCATTTTTCGACCGAATTCGCTGAAATTTGGTACATTGAGTTCTTATTGGGTAGCAAATAACCCTATAAAAATTATAAATATAGGTACATTTTTTCGGATAGTCCCCATATAAGTGTACCCCCAGTTGTCGGTATTTTGGGGTTCTTGAGCTCGTTTTATAACTGCATTCTCTGAAATTTTGTACATTGGGTTCTTATTGGGCACCAAATTACTCCACTAAAAATTATAAATATAGGTCCATTTTTTCGAGAAGCCCCCATATAAAGGTACCCCCCAATTTGCGGTATTTTGGGTGCGTTTATCAACCAAATTCATTGTAATTTGTTTTTTGTAGTCGTATAAGGTAACAAACCTCCCTCCCAAAAATGATTAAAATTCGCCCCCTTTTAGGGGTAGTCCCCATATAACCCCCTTTTTATACTTTTCACCACACTGTGGTACAGGGTATTATGTCTTTGTGCATATGTTTGTAACAGGCAAAAAATCGAGATAGACACATGGTTCCTTTTAAGAAAATGCATAGAATCACTTTCTGAGTCGATTTATACATGTCCGTCCGTCTGTCCGTCCATGTATTTTAGTTAACAAAGTACAGGTCGCATTTATAATCCGATTTAGATGAAATTTGGCACAGGTCACTTAATTGGGCCAAGGACGAACCCTATCGAAATTAGAAAATCGGTTCAGATTTAGATATAGCTCCCATATATATTTTCGTCCGATTTTAACATATTGATGCACCAAACTCCCAATGGTGCTCCGATTGAGACAACATTTTGCACAGAGTATTGAATTAGGTCTAGATAGTTATATACCAAGTATTGTTGAAATCGGTTCAGATTTAGCAAAATTTTGCACAAAGTACTAATTTAGGTCCCGACTGATGTATGTGAAATTTTGTTGGAATCGTTTCAGATTTAGATATATAGCTCCCATATATAGTTTCGTCGATTTAAAGTAAATTGTGCACCAAACTCCCAATATTGTTCCGATTGAAGCAAAATGTTGCACAGAGTACTGAATTAGGTTCCGACTGATGTATGCGAAATTTCTATATCTAGAGGATATTGTAGATATTAACATGCTTTGCATGTACCCATAGTGGTGAAGGGTATCATATAGTCGGCCCCCTCCGACGTTTGAACTTTCCTTACTGGTTTAAATAACATTTTTGAAGGATATTTTTCACTACTTTTAAATAGTTTTTATTTTCGCCACATTTTTACTTCTTATTTAAATTCTAGACAATATTTAAAGTATTAAAATAATCAGATTTTAAAAATTTGCTGTCCTTTAAGTTTTTAATTTGTTCTTTCCTTTTGCAATTATAAATCCTGTTTCCTTCATTTGTTATGAAACACAAACGCACACACTCACACACCCTGCTTCCAAAAAAATGTCTAATCTTCTTTTGTATTTTGTATCAAATTAAATCCTTATGAAAATAAACTACAAACGCACACACACACGCACGCACAATTTAACACCAACAAACATAAACTAAAGATTGACTATAACATAAAATTCTCGATATATTTAATTAAATTTGAAATTTAAATTACGAATATTGTAAAAATTGTCAACACCACATGTCGGATGCAGCAGCATCAGTAGAAGAAGAAGGACAATGACCAGTATAGTGTGTGTGGAAGCCATGTCAGAAAGGCAGGCAAGCTGACAGACTTACTGACGAACGTAAGGACGGACATGTATATATACATATGAAAATAATGTTAAAGCCTTCGGCCTATTTTAGACATATGATATGTTCTATTAAGGAAATGTGAGTAAGTTAATCGATTTCAATGTAAAACTACTGCTGTTGATGCTACTGCTGCTTCTGCCCCTGAATGCAGGACGAACTAACTGACTGACTGGTTGGCTGCCTGCAACTGCAAAATATCAAAAATGGAATTAAGGACCACAAACATCAGTTGCAATCATTGCAACACAATGACACACACACACAGAGACGGACAGCAACAACAGCATTGACCGAACAACAAGAAATTTTAATGGCCAACAACAATGGAAGATGACACACATACAGACGTAGTGTTGAATAGTTTTCGTGTAAAAAAAAACATATTTTTGGTGCAGCATAAGCCACAATATCAGTTAACAGAGAAACTCTATTAAATTGGCATTAAAATTATACAGATAAAAATGGGCCACATTCTGATTAAAGGATAAAGGAAAATGCAGAACCATAGGCGGGATTTTTAGGAGTACTTTTTTTTCAAGGACTTGCAGATTTGAATTTATTTAAGAATATTTTTTTAAGGAGCCATCCTTCGGTATTGCTTCATCTGAAAATATTTTTTGAAAAATCCGCTCATAGGCGTGGATTTATTGAAGAATATTTTTTCAAGGATCCATTCGTAAGCTTAGATTTATTTAAGAATATTTTTTGAAGAAGCCATCCATAGGCGGGGAATATTTTAAGAAGATTTTTTAAGGACTTGTAGACTGCTATGCGTGAATTTATTTAAGAATATTTATAGGGAATAGCAAAGCTCTAGAAGTGGCCTAATTTAAGAATATTTCCTTTCAAGGACTGGCAGAGCCCAAAGCGTGTCTTAATTTAAGAATATTTTTAGTGGCTTAATTTTGGAATATTTTTTTAAAGACTTGCATTCTAAGAATTTTTTAAAGAACTACTAGATACCTGCGTGCGAATTAGTTTGGAACTAATTTTCAGTTTTTTAAGTTTTAGCCGCATTCTGTAATTTAGCATTCCATGTTCTTTGAGAAAGAGAAACATATTCCCAGAAAAAAATAAAATTCCCGGCCTATTTATCTTTCGATGGTCTTCGGTGGGCTTAAACTTCTTCTCAGAGAAGATGTTCAATATAGGTCGCTGTTTTGAAATAGCTCCCTTATAAAAGTCACGTCCCATGATCGGTATTGTGAAAGCGTTAACCGCATTTTCCACCCCTAGTTGTTGTTGTAGCAACTTTCTAAATGTTTATTGTAATATTTTTGGTATTATTCTGGTTCCGACTACTCTGTTTCCAGGTTTCAATTTGGATCGACGGCGTCCAACCCTATTCCGGAGACAGATGCGTGGGTTTAGCAGGACAGTTGAAGAGATGCAACGTATCGTGAAGTCAAAGTCCACACACAGGGCATGTGCTTGGTATCGTGCTGTCAATTCGGACCCAATACGAATTGATGGGACTGCACCATCCTGAACTTAATTGGGCCAAATCTACTCTCATTGTCTAGGCAGCTGTCATTCTTCTGCTGCTATAGGTGGTTGATGGACTCCCTGAAATGCACGTGGTATTGGTCCATTGCC